GAGAGAGAGAGAGAGAGAGAGAGAGAGTCGTTGGGAAGCTACCTGCGACCTTGATGGCCTGGTTGATGTCGTCGTCGTCCCCAAGCAGGAACTGAACGGCCGTAGATCGATAAGGAAGCCCACGCATGTTGCCCTGAAGGAATCTCCCTTCGTGTCGATTCCCAAGCGCCAGTTCGTGGAACCCCATTCGTGACACAGATGAAAATGGCTCCTGGGATCCCTCCTCACATGATGCTTCATCTAATTCACAAAACACATAATCAATCACAACACACACACAATCAATACCATGCAAAGGAAACAGCCAATCCAATACAACATCACCACCACCACCACCACCACCACCAACAACAACAACAACAACAACAAAAAGAATAACAAGAAGAACGGAAGACAATCCCATCACCGACAGGCTAAAGATCAGAAAGAGGCCCCAGGTCAGCTAGTGCCACGAGCCCAGGCACAGTTATCTGCACCTGATAGCATACTCAGACTAGCATAATCTTGAATGTATCTGACCGTAATTACGGCCCAACTAAGATGTGTCCGGACGGCAATATCGTCCAGAAATTGGTTAAAAAAGTTCTGCTGTGAGTGCGCCCTGAGTGTAAAGCTTGACGTTGAAATGCACAGAAAAGTTCCCCCCCCCCCCCAAACAAAAAACAAAAAAAAAACAAAAAAAAAGCCTGACATCAATGGAAAAGATAAAGATTCATCAGCAAATCGGAAGCCGCCATAAAAATAAATAAGCATTCACTGGCCGTCAGTTTACGCCCCATCCCCCCTTTCCAACCCCCCCTTCAAAAAAAAGACAAAAAAGGAAACGCAGAGTATCGTCAGTGTAGGGATTCCCTTTGACATGTTATCCACTCTGAGCAAGCCACGTCATCCAGTCTGTCTGCCAGAGGCTGGCTGGCAGAATCAGGTCGGTTTCGTTTTTTTTTTTGTTTTTTTTTTCAAGGTTATATTTTTAAACCCCAATCTGGTGGGTTTCGTTTTGTCAAGGCAGTGATCCGACCTTAGAGCATACTCACAGTACGAAATTTCTGTGGATGTACCTCACTGCAATTACGGCCCGCTTTGCGTGTATACTCAGAGCAGAGTATTGAAGTTCCTAGTGTGAGTAAGCCGTTTGGGGCCCGACCTTTTCAACCGGAGGAGAACCATTAGTCGATGCCTCCAGGCCGAAGAAAAACACTCTGAGTGAAAAATAAAAATAAGAAAAAACGTCAGGTNCCTCACTGCAATTACGGCCCGCTTTGCGTGTATACTCAGAGCAGAGTATTGAAGTTCCTAGTGTGAGTAAGCCGTTTGGGGCCCGACCTTTTCAAAATTAGGAGAACCATTAGACGATGCCTCCAGGCCGAAGAAAAACACTCTGAGTGAAAAATAAAAATAAGAAAAAACGTCAGGTCACAAATAAAGGGCCTTAAAAAAAAAAAAAAAAAAAAAAAAGGCCTCGCTTCACTACTGTCGACATGCACACAAGACAAAAAGTATGGCAATGTATCTTTCCATTTTCTAAAGGAGGATTCAGTCTCATTTTGCACATTTAGAGATTAATGGTGCGAGGACCAATAACTGACGTTCACTTTTTTTTGCACATTTCGAAAATCTACATGTCAAATTCTCTGTTTGACGTGTCCTGTGTGTGACTTATTTTATCCTCATCCTCATGCTTAGGGCCTCGCCACACCACTGTAGAAACGAAAAACGAACGAACGCATCTACCCAGGAAACTGGTCAGATGCATCCGTTGCTATACGTAGTAAGAGATGCATCTTGCCATTCTCTGCGGGAAGATGCACTCGTACTTTCTTTTTTTTTGCTTCGACAGTGGTGTGGTGCGGCCCTTCGCCCGGGTTTGATACTCCTCTGCCTCCGAGTCAGAACCCGTGGACAGGATGTTTCGTGGAAGTTTCATATGTTAAAAGGTGTTGAAGCGACGGTCGACCGGAAAAGATCGTGCAAAACGTTCATCTTTTTTTTTTTTTTTTTTTCCAGTCGACGGTCGAGTGGAATTCAATCTCAGGCCTGGCCTACCTTCTTCACCCCAATACAACTTACGGTCACTATAGCTGTATGTGGGGTATCTTTTAGTCTAAATTCAGCAATAATGACGCGTAGGTTGTATTGGGGTGACGAAGGTAAGTGAGTTGGTACACCCATCATTTATTGAATAACAGTACGTCACTACCTTCATTGCTCACCTCGTATGTCCAAAAGAGCGGAGAAAAACGGAAGAAAAAACGGAAGAAAAAACGGAAGAAAAAACGGAAGAAAAAACGGAAGAAAAAACGGAAGAAAAAACGGACGGTTGTTACCGGTCCATGAATTTCATCCGTGAAAAACAATAGTACTTCCTTGAGACTCGAGTTTCCTGTAGAGCGTTAAGCTCTGTCCAAAGAACGGAGGAAAACGGAAAAAAGGGAAGAGGACGGAAGAAAACGGACGAAAAGACGGACGAAAAAACGGAAGAAAACGGAGGTTAACGGAGGAAAACGGAGGAAAACGGAGGGCGAACAACAGATCTCACCACTCCATGAATATCGTCCGTGACTACTTCACACGTTCCTTTAGAACGATCATCTTTCACCTAAACTCTCCAGAGAACGGAGGAAAACGGAGGAAAACGGAGGAAAACGGAGGAAAACGGAGGAAAACCGAAGAAAAAGGAGAAAAGTGGAGGGAAAAAAAAAGGGAGTAAAACGAAGGGCGAACAACTGTTCTTCCCTCTCCATGAATTTCATCCATGCGTACTTCACGTGTTTCCGATAGAAGGATCATCTTCCGCCACAACTCTCCACAGACTGAGGAAAAAACGGAGGGAAAACGGAAGAAAACGGAGACAAACGGAGGGAAAACAGCAAGTTCTCACCACTCCACGAAATATGTAGGGCGACGGGGTACTTCCTCGTGACACGTGTCTGCCGTTCCTGTTCTTTCACAAGCGCATCTTTATCGAACCAATGCTGATGATGTTGCCAGACCGGAGGAAGTCTCTCCTCATCAAGCTCCTCACTCCAATGCCGTCCCATTGAATTCATGAAGTCGTAAAACCCGAAGTAGTCCTCCTTTCGCTTCGTCATACCGTTGGATCATCAGGCTGTTTGGGTAATCGAGGGACTTCTCACACTCGAAGGTATTACGTAAATTTCCTCAACGACAACGACGACAACGACGACAAGTAACAGTCGCCGAAAAGCAGAACGCGAAGGATGTGAAAGAATAATATGAGGGCATCCAGTGCAAGAGGAGAACGGTGACGTGGAAGAGCAATAAGCAAGCCACGTGGAGGAGCTGGAAGCCGCAGGAAAAGCCACACACACACACTCATGCAGACATACACACACGCAAACTCACACTCTTACACTCTCACACTCACGCACACACACACTCACATACTCACACACACATGCAGACAGCAACACACAACGACGCCCCCATACATATACAAAGCGCACTGAGAGACAAGTTCGTGGTCTCTGTGTCTTCCGTCCAAAAAAGCATAGCGTGGGGGGCGGGGAGAGAGAGAGAGAGAGAGAGAGAGAGAGAGAGAGAGAGAGAGAGAGAGAGAGAGAGTAGCGAGACAACTCGTCGCCTCGATGGTCTCTCCCTCGTCCCTCGCTCCTGCCTCCTTGGGGCGAGCTCCCACTGCAAAGAAGATTGGATTGGACGCCTGAATCTGGACGTGTTTGTGGAGCAAGGCAGTAAATCACGACACAGCTGACGATGGGTTAACGCCCCCCCCCCCACTTTTCAGCTCCTCACCCGAAACTGCATCTGTGCATAGGGAACACCCAGATTCATGCGCTTAATCCAATCGTCTTTGCTACGGTGGTGGGAGCTCGCCCCTCGTCCCTCGGTGAAAAACTCGTTTTCGTGTCAAGGAGTTTTTTTTTTTTTTTTTTTTGTCCCATAGGACTCGGCTAAACAGTCATCATGTTTATCGGTTTTTTCCCCCCCTTCGTTCTACGTGCGCGGGGGCCAAGTCCCACTAGCAGCGTTGAGCTACCTCAACGCCTGAATCTGGACGCTCTTGCGGAGATGTGCAGAAAAGGTGTTTGAGTTTCCTTAACTGCACCTCTCCACAAACACGTCCAGATTCAGGCGTTGAGGTAGCTCAACGCTGCTAGTGGGACTTGGCCCCGGGACGTCAGAGCTACCTGTGTTCGTGCATCGTTAACCGTTTTCTTCTTTTTCATCTTTTTCTTTATTTGTTATTTTTTGAACTATCCTTTTGTTCATTGATTTTTCATTGATTGTTCATTGAACTATCCTTTTGTTCAATGAAATTGCGGGTTTCCGTCTTCCGCCAAACAGAGCGCACACTGATCGTGAATGCATTCATAATACATTCTTGGTCGGATGCAGTCATGAACAGGGTGCGTTGTGTTCGGGGGGATGTTGGCAGCACTCAAGAAATTACCGCTGGAGACAGTGGAGAGTGATTTGAACTCTTTTTCTGCTTATGCACCAGCTGCATAAATCTACCGCTAAATTTGCAGGGACTTCCTGGGGCGAGCTCCCACTACCAGCGTTGAGTTTCCTCAACGCCTGAATCTGGACGCGTTCGTGGAGATGTGCGGTTGAGAAAACTCAACGCTGCTAGTGGGACCTGGGCCTCGGGATTAAAAAAAAAAAAAAAAAAAGACTACGTACCGCACACGAGCCCTCGATAATCCTTGAATCAAATCCATCTTCAACTGAACAGAATGCACGGTCATTATCACAGGTGTATCTGGACCGAAAGTTGACCCAAAAATACACAAGCTTTGCCGTGGGACCGGCGTGGGTTATGCCCGGGTGAAGATGATAGTTGGCGCATTTGACTGTTCTGCGTGTTTATTGCAGCGTTGCCACGTGGCTCGGAGTCTGTGTGTCATTGGTTGGAGTCGAACTCACGACCTGTCTGTTAACAAACTTTTTTTTTTTTCCTCTCTTTTTTCTTTTTCACATCTGCTTGTCCCAAGGCTTACATCAACATAGCAGCGAATAAGATGAAAATAGCAGAGGGCAACTGGCCTCGGGTGCACTCCCCATCCCGAGCCATCCCTCTGTAGAAAACCAGAAAGCAAAAACACTTCTCAACAACCTAATTCCTAATACTACCTAAATGCCGTAAAAACTCAAAGAAACGGCAAAACACCGAAAATCATATCACGAAAAACCTATGGCGAACACAACCACCAAACCCCACAGCTAAATGTGATCCGTGGACAAGACAAAAAGAAAAAAGAAAAAAAGAAGAGGGGGTCTCCAAATTCAATGAATCTACCCAACAAATATGGCAAGGTCCCTTGTCAAAAGTTCCATCCAGGCAGACTGGCAGAGGGCAGAGGCACTCCCCGCGTCACTGGCTGAATGTGTAAATGGAGCATGCATGGTACGAGACAACGCGGGG